AATTAAATAAATTAAATAATTTTAAAATATTTTCTTATTAAATTATTTTATTATTCAAATTATTTAATGGAAGTCAATTAAATAATTTAAATAATTTAAATAATTTTTGCTTATTTAAATTATTTTAATTATTTAAATTATTTAATAGGGGTCAATTAAATATTTAGTTTAAATAATTTAAATAAATTAAATAATTTAAATAAATTTAATTCAGGAAACTTTCCAGACCAGCCAGAAAAAAATCAATTAAATAATTTAAATCCCGCAGTTTGAATAATTTAAATAAATTTAATTCAGGAAACTTTCCAGACCAGCCAGAAAAAAATCAATTAAATAATTTAAATCCCGCAGTTTAATTCAATCATGTAATTGAGCTGTCGGATTTAAATCATTTAATTGTTTTGCTGGTTGGTCTGGAAAGTTACCGGAATTAAATTTATTTAAATTAGTTAAACTATTTAAATTATTTAAATTATTTAATAGGGGTCAATTAAATAAATTAAATAATTTAAATAATTTTGCTTATTTAAATATTTAAATTTTTAAATTATTTAAATTATTTAATAGGTGTCAATTAAATACATTAAATAATTTAATTAATTTTGCTTATTTAATTATTAACATTATTTAAAATTATTTAAATTATTTAAATTATTTAAATTATTTAAATTATTTAATAGGGGTAAATTAAATAAATTAAATAATTTAAATAATTTTGCTTATTTAAATTATTTAAATTATTTAAATTATTTAATGGGAGGCAATTAAATAAATTAAATAATTTTGCTTATTTAAATTATTTATTTTTTCTCAATTATTTAATGGGAGTCAATTAAATAATTTAAATAATTTAAATAATTTAATTTAATTTCACTTATTCAAACAAAGGAAGGAGCTAAATAGACCCGAAAGGTTGCTCTCTCATATATATATATATATATATGTATGTCTAATATCATATACTGTATACTATATAGAAATAATGTCGTATATGATATATGCATAACCATGTACATATATGTACGCATGCCTACATACATACATATACTATAATATATATATATATATATATATGCATAATGTCTTATGTTTTGTGTAGTATTATATGCGTTTTGTCATGAGGATTTCGCGCTCAACTGGCTTTGTAAAGTGCTTCGGGGACTGAGGGCTCGCGCACGGCTCAGAATGCAACTGGATTAGGGTTTAGGGTTTAGGGATCAGAACATTTGGGTGTAAGGGCACTGGAAACAACCCCTCCGGCTGAGGATTTAGGGTTCAGGCTTTCAGGTGTAGGGGATAAAGGTAGGACGGACACAGGATTTCAACATTCGCATCCCAGAACAAAATTTGGAGTCAGGCAAAGGGAGAGGGCCCCCCAAACCCAAACCAGACACATTACAAGGGCTTAAAATTGGTGTCGGAATAGTTCCTAGCAGGATTCCCTTATGGTCCCTGCAATAAAACACTATAGCAACCCCCAAAAGCCTATTATATTTATTAAGCCCTATACTAAAACTCTGATGTGCAGGGGTACTTATCAGGAAAGGGTTGCTTAGGGTTCAAGGCATATCTTTTGGGGCTTGTGAATTGCATAGGGTCTGAGACTTAGGGTTTAAGGGTTTGGGGTGTTTAGGGTTTACAGATGTTTACAGGGTTCAATGCTCAGACTTCCGGCTTCAAGATCTTGATGCTATGTTCTGAGGTTGATAAGTGGGTCTATGATCCAGGGTTTGGGGTTTATGGGCTTGGGTTCGAGACCCAAGAGTAACCTTGGAGCAAAGAGGGTACCTTTTTTTTGGTCACAGTGGCTTGTAAGAGAACTTAAACCTCACAAAAAGGGGAGTAAAGGGCTAATCTGGGTCGAAACGACCCGGAGACGCCAGATGCCTGACCATGTATGCCCCCCCAATGAATTTTAGGAACCTGGGAGCCCCATACTAAGGGGCCTAAACCCTAAACCCTAAACCCTAAACCCTAAACCCTAAACCCTAAACCCTAAACCCTAAACCCTAAACCCTAAACCCTAAACCCTAAACCCTAAACCCAATATGGGAGGCTGTTCTAAATGGCCCTTTCAAAGGGATTGACACTGGGAGAAGAGTCACTAAACAAGGGAACCCTTACAGAAAAAGGTCAACCTATTTGTGGGGACAGGTATACGTATTTTGAACCGCTACCATGTAGGAGTCCGCCGGCAGCCTCTTTGAACATCGGGGGGGGGGGGGGGGGGGGGGGGCGGTGCGAGTTCAACCCACAAGGCTTCGGAGTCTGTGGGGGTATCAAGGCAACATGATCAATACATCTCTCCCCCCAAGGTTGAGTACTTAAAGTTCCGAAGATCGAAATTGTTCCGAGTTTGGTGTAGGGTTTAGGGTTTCGGGTTAGGGTTTGGAGTTGCTTTTGTTTTCCGATCCTGAACCTGCAGAACCCCCAACCCCAATGGAAAACCAAACCGAAGCCACACTAAGTCTCCCTCAGCCCTAACCCCCTAAACCCTGAACCCTCAAACCTGTCTCCTACACACCCCCTCCAACAAACCATTCTGCAAAGCGGCCGTCTTCCGGGGAACCGTACCCCCAAAGATTGTCTGGGGCTGCTTCCAGTCGGTGCCCTCCTGGTGCCGGGATTTAGGGTTTAGGGTGTAAGGTTTAAGGCCTCAAGTTTCTTCGGCTCGGGCTTAGGATTTCAGACCTAGGACGGCTCTAGGTGCGTAGAGTTTACGGTCCAGCGTTTCGGGGTTAGATCCGGGTTAGATTTAGGGTTTAGGGTTTAGGGTTTAGGGTTTAGGGTTTAGGGTTTAGGGTTTAGGGTTTAGGGTTCTGGATGTATGGGTTAGTGTTCAGGTCTTTAGAGGGACCTCAGTGGGCTTAGGGTTTGAGGTTGGAGGCTTCAAAGCGCCAACGAAAATCCAAAGCCCCCTAGGAGGATCCTCGGCCCTTATTTCATGTGCATGAAAGTATAGGGTTTAATGTTTAGGGTTAAGGCTTAAGGATTTAAGGTTTAAGTGCTACCTCCTGACATTGATCCTATGCGGGCTTCAACCAAGCCATGGGCGACCGGAGTTGGGCCTGCTGCCACGGCTACTTCTGAGGGCGGCGCGGGTTTAGGATTTAGGGTTTAGGGTTTAGGGTTTAGGGTTTAGGGTTTAGGGCCTAGGGTTTAGGGTTTAGGGTTTGCTGTAATAGGGCGTAGATGCTGTGAAGGTTAGGATGCAGCAGCGGCTCGAATACCTCGTCAGGTGCGAAGAGCAGCTGTGGCCCGATTGTGGAGGGCCATCTAATACTTTTCTCCCACCCCACGCCGTCCGAGGCGGCAAAACCACCCAAACCTATTCCTTTTAGGGTTTAGGCCTAAACTCATGACAATCCCTTTATTGTTCACCCTTCCGTCACCGATGGCCACTTTCAGCTAAGGGAAAGGTTTGAGGCCAGGTCGTTTGTGGCACGGGTTTCAGCTGCATAGAAAAGGAGAGGTTTTAGAGGGTTTGAGGCTGGTGGGCCAGGCAGAAGGGAGGGCCAGGGCGGGGGCCGTGGGGGTAGGAGGGGCCAGGGGGCTCTTGGGGGGTGGGGGCCAGCTTGTCTTTACCTAGTACTGGTTTCTGGGAGATACCGGGCCCCATCGTAGGTGCTACCGACCCGAGCTGCAGGAGGCGGGCAAGCGACCTGGGTCGACTTTCGCCATAGTGGTCGAAGGGCTTAAGCGCCGCCCCCCCTCTGTAGGGGGGCGGCCTGGGCCCTGAGTTTAGGGTTTAGGGTTTAGGGGTTAGGTTTAGGGTTTAGGGTCTAGGGTCTAGGGCAATTATCAATTTGGGTTTAGGGCTTGGCGGGTCTAAATCTTAAGCTTGTGCTTCCTACCATAGATGTACAGGACTTTAACTGTGCGTCCTCCGCATGGCGAAACCGAAATGCAGAGATTCGGGATCCCAGCCGCTAAACCTGGAACTGGAACTATTGAAGACTAAAGCCGTGCAATTGGGGATTGCACTGCAGGTTTCGAGAAGGTCCTCTTCGGGATTTAGGGTTTCGGGTTTTCGGGTTCAGGGTTTGGGGTCTAGAGCTTGGGGAGTGAGCTTGGGGTTTTAGGGGTTTTTGGTTTCGACCTCGGGTTTGGGGATTTGGTTTAGGCGTTAGGGCTTCTTGGTTGCTTTGGGGTTGTAGGCCAGGATTGCCGGTATTTTGTGCAACCTCAAACTCGGAGTTTTCAACCAAAAAACCCTCGCGTGTCAATCTGGGTGTTTAGGGCTTAGGGTGGAGGAAAAAGAGCACTTACGTGATTTCAAACATCCGGGCTGCGGGTCCTTCACCCTTTGGAAGAAGCTCGCGCATTGGGCTTCGTCGAAGGGACACCTGCAGCTGCAAGAGCAAATGAGGGTTTAGAGTTTAGGGTTTAGGGTTTAGGGTTTAGGGTTTAGGATTTAGGATTTAGGGTGTCTCAATTGAGGGGGCGCCGAAGCCTCCCGGACAGGCCTCCCAGAAGCCCCAGAACCTACTCGAAAAGGCCTCTGGGATTCAGAAAGGCGTGTCAGAATGATGATCCCTTGCAGCGCCCAGGGGCGAAGGCTAGGGCGCCACTGTCATCAAGAATGATATACATGAGCACGATCCGAAAGGAAAGAAACCCAAAACACGCAGAGGTCAAGGCGAGTGTGGAGCGCAAGCGGGGGTGAGGCTCAACAAGTCAGGGCGCGCGCCCGGGAGGGGTTGGCTGGCACCTTCGCTGGGGACTTTTGAGGCCTTTGAAAGCCTGTAAGAATCCCTACAAACCTTTCGAGGACCAAAAGTAGGTCTCCCTTCAACAACTGAAACACCCGGTGTTGGGGGTTGGCTGGCGTCTTCACCCCTTGGTGTTGCAGGGATGACGTATGGTCAGAAGTTGGGTTGGCCCTGCCTGGCCTTGCCTGCGGATCTTTACCTGGGCTGCGTGGCAAGTTGCGGAGGCTGTGGGGGCCCCTGCCGCTCACCTGAAAGGCCTTTGGGAGACCCCGGAAAGCCTCTCATGGGAGTTTCTTCGAGCTTCTGGCTCCGGAGCTTCCTCGCCTCCGGCTTCGGTGCGTTTGCCCTGCTCACTCAAGGGTTTGGGGTTTCACACCCTCAACCCAACGCCACAACCCCAAAACCCCACAACTCCGAAACCCCCCAAACCCACAAAAAGATCCAAAAGCCCGTAAACACCCTTAAACCCTGAACCCTAAAACCCCTAGACCCGAACCCTAAACCCGAAAACTCTAAACCCGAAAGCCCCTAAACCCCAACAGTATAGGGCTCAACCCGAAAGCCCCAAACCCTAAACACTAAACCCCTAAACCCTAAACCCCAAAACCCCAAAACCCTAAAAGCCACAAACCTCAAATGGGTATAGGCCTTAATCTGAGTGCCTTGTAACATGGCCGTTATATACACGATACAAAAGAAAGGCCCATACTTTGGATCCTCAGAGTTTAGGGTTTAGGGTTTAGGGTTTAGGATTTGGGGTTTAGGGTTTAGGATTTAGGGTTTAGGACCTTCGATGAAAGGGGCCAGCTCTGCAGCCAGGCAGCGGCAGGAAGGCTGCGAAGCATCGCCGGGACTCATCCATGAGGATGTATTCCCATTCTCGCGGCTTCAAGCTTCGAGTCAAGGGATTTAAGGCGGGTTTAGGGTTTAGGGTTTAGGGTTTAGGGTTTAGGGTTTAGGGTTTAGGGTTTAGGGTTTAGGGTTTAGGGTTTAGGGGAATAAAGGATTTAGGGTTTAGGGTTAGGGTTTAAAGCTTAGAAAGGCATTCGGCGGGAGTCGGTGTGTAGGGGAACAAGGGCGCGTTCAGGGTAAGCGTTTAGGTTTTGGAGGCTTGGTGGCGTTTAGGGCTCCAAAGTCTGTGCAGGATGCCTTGAACAGCAAGGTCCGGCTCATGGGCTGCTACTCTAGGATGCGAGGGAGCCGCCGTGTTGTAGTAAGGGCCCTTCATAGGGTTGATTCTGGGGATTGTAGGACCTAAACCCTAAACCCTAAACCCTAAACCCTGAACCCTGAACCCTAAACCCTAAACCCTAAACCCTAAACCCTAAACCCTAATCGCCCATCCTGGTAAGCTGCTTCCTGTTGGCTCGTTTTGAGAAGAAGGAACCTCGGCCTTTCAGTGGCTACGCGCTCAAGCTCTTCATGAGCATGTTGCTGGCCAGACGCGACGCTCTCCTGGTTAGACGTTAGAGCCTGACCGTTAAACCTGAGATTCCGAAAGCCTAGAAGGAGACGTTCAACAAACAGCAGCCGGACGGAACCGATATCAGATGATAACCTAAATTTCAAACCCTAGATCCCTAAACCCAGAATCCCGAAACCCCTTTCCGCACCCTTTCCTAGTACGGCGCGCCTCGGCTAGAAGCGGAAACTCAAAAGCCCTAAACCCCTAAGCCCCCAGGCCCCGAGGCCCCTAGGCCCCCAACCCCCTCAACCTCAACCCCTGAACCTCTCAGCGCCGAAACCCCTTAAACCCCTAAGCCCCTAACACCCCGAAACCCTTAAGCCCCTGAACCCCCTAAACCCAAAACCCCTAACCCTAACCCTAAACTCCCTAAACCCCTAACCCTAAACCCCTTAAACCCCTAAACCCAAAACCCCTAACCCTAAACCCGAAACCCTCAAACCTCAGCTTTGAGCGGCCAACTCTGAAGCCCTAAAAGCCCTAAGCCCCTATTCCTCTAACCCCTCCCTCCCCTCAACCCTAAACCCTAAACCCTCAACCCTAAACCCTAAACCCTCAACCCTAACCCCTAAACCCTAAACCACTAACCCTAAACCCTAAGCGCTTAAAGCGCTAAGCCCAAAGCCCTAAACCCTAAACCCCCACCCCAGTCCTGCGCTTTCGGGCGCAATCTCACCAATGAGCTGGACCCCAGTCTCCTTCGCGGGAGCACCGATGCACAAGCGAAAACCCGAAAAAATGAAGGTTTGGGGGGGGGGGGGGTTTTTGAGGTTTAGGGCTTAGGGCTTTCGGGTTCAGGGTTTAGGGTTTCGGGTTTGAGTAGGGTTTAGGGTTTAGGGCTACCTATCCATGAGCTCTGAAATCTTCATGGGTTCCCCTACTACCACCCCCCTAGTCTAGGTTCCCCCACAATCAAGGTCATTTAGGAAGAATTGAGCCTAACTAAGATTAATCTCCAAATCTCTTTCTAGTTATACTATGATACGTCGTTTGCCGCCAAAAAAGTGTACACTTTCAGTTCTATAGGGGATTATAGTATCCCAAAAAGTGTAAAGTGTGCTCACTCAGCTGCTAAGAATACCCCACCAAAACCCTGTTCTAACGATTCAGGCCCCTAAAGTCTCCAAATCGCCCTAAACCCTAAACCCTAAACCCTAAACCCTAAACCCTAAACCCTAAACCCTAAACCCTAACCCTAAACCCTAAACCCTAAGCCCTAAGCCCTAAACCCTAAACTCTAAACCCTAAATACCAAACCCTAAACCCTAAACCCGAAACCCGAAACCCTAAACCCTAAACCCTAAACCTTAAACCCTAAGCCCTAAGCCCTAAGCCCTAAACCCTAAACCCTAAACCCTAAACCCTAAACCCTAAACCCACCCGCCTCGCGCGGCTGCTCCCAGGTCTCGCCCCATCGCTCAGGGGAGTCGTCCTGGAGACGCCCTACTGCCAATTCCCTAGGGTTTAGGGTTTAGGGTCTAGAGTCTAGGGTCTTAGTCTTGAGTCTAGGGTTTAGGGTTTACGGTTTAGGGTTTAGGGTCTAGCTTTGGGACCCGAAACCGAAAACCTAAACCCTGAAGCCGGTTTGGGGCTAAGTTTGAGAGTTGGAATGGTTGGGAAAGCGATTGGTTGTAGATAATGTGAGAGGACAGTAATCTAACAGTCAAAACGAAACGAACCCTGAATAACTAACCCGAAGCCTTGCTATCGTTGACACCAGCGTTGCTTTTGCTACTCGTTCCAAAACAAGCATTGCTAATCCACATGTGCGTAGTGTTAGCCATATTTGTCTTACTAATTCCACGAATAAGCAGCGAATTAACAACGATCATGCCAATCATGACTTATATTAGTCTTGGTTGCTACATATAATAAAAACGATGATCTTGGGAATGCCGCTTATAATCGCCTCACTATAATATCATCAACTCTCCTGGCAAGACTAAACACAAAATTGACAACAATGACACATCACAGATTATCAAAGTGACAGTCTTACTATTTCTCATAGTGCTAGTAATGGGGTACTGTTTATACTAGTCGTAATACTATTGATATGAATATCATGATTAATAGCAGTGCTAATTTCAGCTATTTCTATGAAAATTCACTATGAAAGTACTGTTAATCATAACTATGTATATTCATATTCAACATTATAGTACCGTTAATCAGACCATCGATTTTCCTATTCATTAGTATAGTATTCTGAACAGTAATGCCAGTAATAACAATAACAAGAAGGGAATTTACGAAAATAGGGGGGAACCCTAAATAAAGCCCCCAAATAGTAGGATGCCCTTGCGAGAAGGACCCCAAGACGGTACCCCTAATTTCGGAAACCCTAAACCCTAAACCCCAAACCCTAAACCTAAATAAGTAATGAAGATAATCACAATTACAAGAAGAACCCGCGGCCTCCTGCCACTCCCAGCGCCCCTTGGAGCCGCCTTCCACGCCGCGGATTGTTGTTTAGAGTTTAGGGTTTAGGGTTTGGGGTTTAGGATTTGGGGTTTAGGGTTTAGGGTTTGGGGTTTAGGGTTTGGGGTTTAGGGTTGCGACCGTGTGTTTTGTTAAGCATCGCCTCTCAAGCCCAAACAACCCAAGCCTCTCGCACACGAAAACGCTCGATGCCTTTGTCATTCTCCTTAGCGTCGCTCCAGCGCTTGCCGCCCTGGCCGTTGCCCTCCTGGCCATGTGGGGGTCGCCATAGGTAACGGACGTTTTGATGCCCTGAACATTCAGGAGTGTACAGCCACAGAGACCAAACGAGGCCCAGAAAGTTTTGAACAACCCCCATGTGTTTCCTCTTTCGAGGGTGCGTGCAGGGAGTGCGCGCTCTTTCCCCAGGGCTTTACAGCGGATTTGACTTGCAGCAGCCTTGAGCTTAGGTTTGAAACGCCTTGCGTGGGGGTTCCAAGCATCTTCCTGACTTCAAGACTAGTGGCACCGATGAGTTTTTTGCTGTTATTGACGTTGGAAGACACGAGGGGCATATGCGCGCTCTGTGAATGCAGCGAGGCGCACCGTACTTCGCGCAGTTGCCTTAGTAGACTGACGAAAGCCCGACAACCTAACTAACAGGTTTGCAAACGATCTGAGATAGAAGCCCTGTGCAACCTGGACGACAAGCTTGTTGTAAGCATTTGCATGAGCAGGAACCTAAGCCCTAAACCGTAAACGGGTAACAAGCTCAAGCGCAAGACGCAGGATGCAGATGTCCCGCCGTTGCCGCCCAAAACACCAGACCCCAAAAAGCCCAAAACCGTGGACAAGTTTGATTCGTCCTGGTGCACGGAGTGTGATGGCAAGGAACTGTGCAAGAAGTTTGCGCTGGGGAAGTGCAAAAACAAGGCCCGCAGATACTTCCACCGCTGCCCCGTGCCGGATAAATCAGGCAAGGCTTGCGGCTAAGTAGGGCTTAGGGTCTAGGGTTTAGGGTTTAGGGTTTAGGGTTTAGGGTTTAGGGTTTAGGGTTTAGTTTAGGGTTTGGGGTTTGGGGTTTGGGGTTTATGGTTTGGGGTTTAGGGTTTAGGGTTTAGGGTTTAGAAGACTTCAGGCTCGGGCAGGAGGGAGCTGGCTCTGCACGCGGCGGGCCTCGTCCCCACCCTGGCCTAGGTCGAAGATTGTTGGTTAGGGTTTAGGGTTTAGGGTTTAGGGTTTAGGGTTTAGGGTTTAGGGTTTAGGGTTTAGGGTTTAGGGTTTAGGGTTTAGGGTTTAGGGTTTAGGTTTTAGGGTTTAGGGTTTAGGGTTTAGGGTTTAGGGTTTAGGGTTTAGGGTTTAGGTTAGGGTTTAGGGTTTAGGGTTTAGGGTTTAGGGTTTAGGGTTTAGGGTTTAGGGTTTAGGGTTTAGGGTTTAGGGTTTAGGGTTTAGGGTTTCTGGGTTTAGGGTTTAGGGTTTAGGGTTTCGGGTTTAGGGTTTCTGGGTTTCGGGTTTAGGGTTTAGGGTTGAGGGTTTGGGGTTTAAGGTTTAGGTGTGTGCAAACCGGCTGTTTTCAAAGCCTGGTAGCTGTGAGTGCAGTTGCAACTAAACCCCAAACCCTAAGCCCCTTAGCAATAAGTCGCCCAAGCCTCCTGCTCGACCTCTTGTGGAGACTGGCTTGTGGTGCGAAAGGCTGGATGAAAGAAGCTTTCTAAGGATCTAAACTGGAAGGTTTAGGGCCTTTAGGGTTTAGAGTCGTCCTGCCCTGACCAAAATTCCCAGCATGCACTCCACAAACCCTAAACCCTAAACCCTAAACCCTCACTCAACCCTAAACCCCTAAACCCCTAACCCCTAAACCCGAAACCCCAAACGAAACTCTAAGGACATGTCAGTATAACATTGCATCTTTAGTAGCCCCTGACCTTAGAAGTCTAGCAAAGAAGGAACCACTGGTGTCTTGATTGCTCAGAACGCAGCGGCCTATTTACAATAAAGGGTTTGGGTTTAAGGCTTAAGGTTTAGAATGGGTTTTGGCTAGATTTAAATATGAGTACGGAGTCGGCTTATTGGGGGGACAATGTTGGTCAGAACCTAAAAGTCAAACTTGCTCAGAAGGGGCAGCCCACACACGGAATTGAGACCCTAAATCCCTAAACCCTAAACCCTTAACCCCAAATCCCCAAACCCTGAACCCAAAGTACCAAGTCCAAATCTGAAATCCTGGTCAAACCTCTCTCTCGCTGGGCATCCCTGACGACCCCAATCTTTCTCCCACCACTTGTCCTTGTCCTGGCAAAGCAGGGTGATGAAAATCCAAAAAGCCTAAGCCCTAAACCCTTAACCCTGGGGTTCAGGTTGCTTCGGGCTTCTAAGGGTTCTTGGATGGTGGCAGGGCATCAGACAAAGCAAGTGTGTAGTAGTAGTGTCTGAGCCCTACACCTAAACCCTAAAGCCTAAATCCTAAATCCCAAACCCTAAACCCTCAAAAACCAACAGGTGGCAAGGGGCCTCCAGCTTCTTAAACCCTGACCCCCTGCAAACCTCAAGCCCTATACTTGGAGGTTCATGGTACTTACTAACCAATTATAACTGTACTTAGAACCCAACTTATAGCCATGTTAGGGCACCTAAGGGGCTTATAAGTGGTAGAACAAACCCTAAACCCTGCACCCCAAAGCCCCTTAAGCCCCTTAAGCCCCTAAAGCCCCTAAAGCCCCTAAAGCCCCTAAAGCCCCTAAAGCCCCTAAAGCCCCTAAAGCCCCTAAAGCCCCTAAAGCCCCTAAAGCCCCTAAACCCCTGAACCCCCTAAACCCCCTACAGTAAACCCTGCAATTTATGAATCCTGCCATGAGACTCCAAGTATACTTGGAGGTTCAGCGCCCTCCTGGGTGCCATGAAGCAACTGCAAGTGGAAGCTCACTACGCCAAGAAGCCGCCCAAGTAACCGATTAGGGTTTAGGGGTTGCAGGGTTTAGGGTTTAGGGTTTAGGGTTTAGGGTGTAGGGTTTAGGGTTTAGGGCATAGGGTTTAGGGTTTAGAGCTTAGGGTGGCGAAGAGCTTAGGATTGCCTAGGCTACAAATACACAGTGGTGCGTCTCTGGGCACCTGCCCTGAGCCTGCAAGTAAGCCACATAAGTTGGTCTTCAGACCCCAGGTGTGCCGTTCTGGGCCTTGTAAATCCAAAGTCCTGACCTTCCAACCGAAGCTCCACCCTAAACCCTAAACCCTAATCCCTAAAACCTAAACCCTAAACCCTCAACGCGCAAAGTAACTGCATGCCCGCTAAGCCTTCCATGACGAGGAAGACGCCCAGCCGTCCTCACGGACGAGGCTTCAGCGACCAGCGAACGGCATAGCGTTGAGGGTTTAGGGCTTGGGGTTAAGGGTTTAGGGTTTAGGGTTTAGGGTTTAGGGTTTAGGGTTTAGGGTTTAGGGTTTAGGGTTTAGGGTTTAGGTTTCAGGGTTTCAGGGTGTAGGGTGTAGGGTTTAGGGCTACTACTATCTAAGGGTAGTTACATGGTCTCTTGATCTGGCCCCTTACCCCCTTTTAAGGGTTCTGCAGTATGGGCCCTTGGGTTTTACAGGGTATATAAGGAGTATAGACTGGGTCCCCATTTAAGGGCCCACATTAAGGGACCATGTAACTACCCTAAGAGTTGATCTGTGTCCCCGATATCCTTGAACTAGGGAAGATTCCTTAGATTGTACTGGGCAGGGCGTAGGGTTTTGGGTTTAAGGTTTAGGGCGGTCTAATATGAATTATGAGGTGCCATTCCCTCATCAAGCAATATTGCAGTCTCTGGGTTTGGGGTTCAGGGTTGTCTGCCAAAAACTTATCGACCAAGAGCCGCCGCACCTGCCAGACATCACAAGGCTATGCCCCGATAGCCCTGAACTCGAAACTACTGCGGCATCCCCTAAACCCTAAACCCTAAACCCTAAACCCTAAACCCTAAACCCTAAACTCTGGTAACCTATCCAGGAACTGGGGGGGCCTCAGCCCTGAACCCAACCTCGCTGAATCCCGAGTTCCCTATGGCCGTCCTTCCACTGCTGGTCCTTCCACTGCCTTAGGGGATCGGCGATTCGAAGCTGTAGGGTGTTTCGGGTTTAGGGTTTAGGGTTTAGGGTTTCGGGTTTAGGGTTTAGGGTTTAGGGTTTAGGGTCTAAGGTTTAGGGTTTAGGGTTTAGCGTTTAGGGCCTAGTGGTTTACAGCCCCCCGAGCATGTGGCACCCCCTGAACACAAAGCTGATACCTACATGAGCTCTCAGCCTGCAGTGACTCAGTCCCCACGTCTAAATACCCTCATATGCTGCCTAGACCCCTCAAGAACACTAAACCTAGAAACCTCCAACCGACACATCGAAAACGCAGCCCTAAACACCCTAGACCCTAAACCATCAAGCACCCTGAAGATCAGCTGCCAAACAGATTGATCTTGAGGTTATTCCGGGAGTCGGGGTTCAGGGTGTAGGACTTGTTTTCCTAGGATCTAGGGTGCAGGGTTTGAAGCCTCGAAACGGCGAAGCTTGAAACTGCTTAACCCTAGAACCCTCAAGCCTGAAACTACCCCCTGGTTCTTAGTAGGGAATGAGGGAGTTCGGGCCTTATATATACAAGGTTTAGGGTTTAGGGTTTAGGGTTTAGGGTTTCGGGTTTAGGGTTTAGGGTTTAGGGTTTAGGGTTTAGGGTTTAGGGTTTAGGGTTTAGGGCTCCAAATCCTAAACCCTGGAGACTTAAGGTTTAGACGATCCAGGGTTCAGTTCTCAGGGCGGGCGCGGGAACACTGGAGGGGGCCTCCCTAAAGGGCACCGTACTCCGGTAGGAACCCCAAAAGTGGTCATGGGTGTTGGGGTTTCAAGATAGGGTCTAGGGTTTGGGGTTTGGGGTTTATGGTTTAGGGTTTAGGGTTAAGGGTTTAGGGTTTAGGGTTTAGGGTTTGGGGTTTAGGGTTTAGGGTTTCGGGTTTAGGGTTTAGGGTTTCGAGCTTAGGGCTTAGGGTTCGCGACCTGAATGGAGACGTCCAGGGCACTGGTCCTTCCAGTCTTGCCACTCGGCATCTGTCCAGCGGCTACCAGACTCCTTGTGGTGCTCGAGTTCAGAAACCCCTAAACCCTAAACCCTAAACCCCAAACCCTAAACCCTAAACCCTAAACCCTAAACCCTAAACCCTAAACCCTAAACCCTAAACCCTAAACCCTAAACCCTAAACCCCTAAAACCCTGAACCCATACATGCCCTAAACTTTGGGGTTCAACCGTTCAGGGTTCCAAGGTTTGGCATTCCGGAGTTTATGGTTTGGGGCTTTTGAAACCCGGAGCCCTAAACCCTCTGGGTTTAGGGTTTAGGGTTTAGGGTTTAGAGTTTAGGGTTTAGGGTTTAGGGTTTAGGGTTTAGGGTTTAGGGTTTAGGTTTAGGGTTTAGCGTTTTGGGCCTAAAGAAGACGTTCCTAGGTTCCCTCCCGAGAAGCCTGGTGCGGAACAAAAGTTTCACTGGGAATCAACTGGGAGGCGTCTCAACTTGCAGGGTTTAGGGTTTAGGGTTTGGGGTTCAGGGTTTAGGGCTTAGGGTTTAGGGTTTAGGGTTTAGGGTTTGTAGGGTTTAGGGTTTAGGGTTTAGGGTTTAGGGTTTAGGGTTTAGGGTTTAGGGTTTAGGGTTTAGGGTTTAGGGTTTAGGGTTTAGGGTTTAGGTTTAGGGTTTTTAGGGTTTTAGGCCTAAAGAAGACGTTCCTAGGTTCCCTCCCGAGAAGCCTGGTACGGAACAAAAGTTTCACTGATCAACTGGGAGGCGTCTCAACTTGCAGGGTTTAGGGTTTAGGGTTTAGGGTTTAGGGTTTAAGGTTTAGGGTTTAGGGTTTAGGGTTTAGGGTTTAGGGATCTGCAAGGCTTGAGTTGTTCATTTAGATCTTTCTCGTTCGCCAGGGTCTTACGCACAGTCACTTAAGGACACAGACGCAGTATGAAATCCCTACTTTCACTTCTAAATCCGGTAAATGGTTTTGGGTTTGTTGAGGCTGAGCAAAGAAAGTTCTTGTCGAAAAGCTCGCGACAGTACTGTCTCTCGTTTTGGGCGGGGTCACTAGTCAGGCGATATTGAAAAGACCAGGCGCTTCCCAAGAGAGCAATCCTATGTTTGGGTCTTCTGAGCTGTTTCCAAGGTGATATATGGTCAGAGACGGACAAGTGGCTTGAACAAAACCCTAAACCCCTAACTCCGAGCACCTAACCCCTAAACCCTAAATCCTAAACACTAAACCCTGCCCACAATAAACTTCCCCACTGTCAACCCCATCACGGAAGTCCTTGCGGACGGGCGGTGGCCTGAGCTAGGCTGGAGGACTGCCGACAGATATGTAAAAAAGGGCACGCTTCGGTTTAGTTCAGGGTATACTTAAAGCTCCAAGTACTCCGTAAGAGGGGCCTAAGGTACTTTATAGCGTGGTTTGAAGGGCTCTGAAGCATGGATGCAGAAGCTTGCAGACACGTGCATCCCTGCGGAAACATTCAACACCCAGCTCAAAACACCCCACGCTATCAAGCCTAGCCCTACTCCCTGCATGAGTCCTAAACCCTAACCTGGATAATCCCATATATTGCTCTATCTCTCTCTCTCTCATAACCCCATGGAACAGATCAAATTAACACAACAGGCTGCTATATAGATCTCTGATGGCCTTAAACCCAAAACCAACAGCCTGCACCCGTTCTTTTCTGCCACGGTGCAGGGGTAGGGGGTGGTGCTCGTGTGACCAGCAGTGCAGCACAGCATGTTGCTTAGGATTTACACCATGCTCAACACATTCAAACGCCCCAAAAAGTCCTCCCCAAACCCCTTAGCCCTAAACCAAAAAAACGGAGACATGTTCGTTCCGGGAGTCTGCACAGGCTTCGAGATTCCCAAAACAAAAACGCCCACACCGCTCGCCTAGACATGTATAGAAGTGCTGCGCTGAGTTGCTGCTGGTTCGCACCATTGCACGAAAGCCTAAGGCCTTCGTATTCATCTGTGAAACTTATGATTGAATTGTCATAGGGAGCTGAGAGACACGGGAAGCAACATCCCAAAACATACAGATTTGCTTCGAGTTTTGGGTTCACGGGAAAGCAAGATCACAACATTTTGCAGCTTAGGAGGCATTGGGGTTTAGGGTTTTGGGTTTGGAGTTTAGGGTGTAGGGTTTAGGGTTTAGGGTTTAGGGTGCTTTTCACCAGGCACAAATGGGAGCAGCGGTGAAACAACGAAACAACGAAAGTCTGAGTGCGAAATAAGTCAGCCTGTTCCAACGACCACCTGACCCGCAAAAAATGCAGTCTCGACTCAGAGATTTAAAAGATCTTGGGACTTGTGGCAGAACGTGGGTCTTGCCGTCCCATCACGCCGGCAGGACTTGGCGCATGCGGTCGACCCCGAGCGTGCGGCCTCTTCTGAAAAGTCGCCGCACAGGTGCCAGCAGCAACGCATCCAAGGGCTCTTCGTCCGTGAAGACAGAGTCCAGATCACCGTACTAGGTTCCAGTTTAGGGTTTAGGGTTTAGGGTTTAGGGTTTAGGGTTGAGGGTTTAGGGTTTAGGGTTTAGGGTTTAGGGTTAGGGTTTAGGGGTGAGGGGTGAGACATGCAACAAACATTGACTTTCTGAGAATTGCTGAGGGCGCAAGCTGAAGTGTAAGCGAAAACACTGCTGCATAAGGCTGGGAACCTCGTCGACGAGGACGTCGCTGAGGACACCTGCACAGCCAAACCCCAGAGAATTGGGCACGCTTACCCCCCAAACCCTCAAGACAAGAAACGAATAGCTGAGTGGTGCTTTAAACCCTTTGAAAATTATTTATGAATAGGTTCCCTTACAAGGACAGAAGGAAAATAAAAAATTCTCCCAAAGCACAACCCAGATGGAAATTGTATGCTTGGTATCATTCGTAATTGTCAAAGAGACATGTCTAAACAAGCTAGCCCCGCACAAAATGCCATCCCCAAAAAATGACCTCCAACAGCCGAGTGTAACACCGGGGCCTTGGGGGGTTATTGTAGTTTAATGACAAAGGGGCCATAAGGGAAGATTATTAGTAAGTATTTTCGCCCCTATATTAAGCAGATGAATCACCACACATTTCTGGGAGGCCAAGCGTAGCGTACAATCTTACTTTGGGTGCCCCAAAAAGGTATCAGGGCCCTCTCAGCCCCGCGTTCAAACATTTTCATTGTTTGTATATCTCGTCGGCCGGAGCCCCCATCACCCCCATAAGCATGGCTTAGTAGCCCAGTAACCATATTCTAACAAGGGCACCCGTTTCTTTGGTTGGCTACTTTGTCAGGGAACCCAGAACCAAAAACAAAAAAGTAAAGGGTACCACTGGGATACCAAGGCATAGGTGCTGCTAAATTCAAATTGCTTCGGTCAAAGCTTTCGGCCAAATCTGTCGGTCAAAGCTTTTTGGGACCCAAACCCTATGCAGTTTCCATCAACCCTGAAACCTAAACCCTAAACCCTGAACCCTACTGAACCCTGAACCCTGAACCCTGAACCCTAACCCCTAAACCCTAAACCCTAAACCCTAAACCCTAAACCCTAAACTATGCCTGGCCTTGCTTTTGCACTACATCCAAGAACTGCCGGGCATAGTCGCTCGCCGCCTGCGGAGGGGATCTTGTGCGAGGCCCAGATTGGGTTTGGGTTGAGGGTACAAGGTTCAGCGTTTAGGGTTTAGGGGTGAGGGTTTGGGTTTTAGGATTTAGGGTTTAGGGTTTCGGGTTTAGGGCTTAAGCTTTAGGCTTTAGGCTTTAGGCTTTAGGCTTTAGGCTTTAGGCTTTAGGCTTTAGGCTTTAGGCTTTAGGCTTTAGGCTTTAGGCTTTAGGCTTTAGGCTTTAGGCGTTAGGCTTTAGGCTTTAGGCTTTAGGCTTTAGGCTTTAGGCTTTAGGCTTTAGGCTTTAGGCTTTAGGCTTTAGGCTTTAGGCTTTAGGCTTTAGGCTTTAGGCTTTAGGCTTTAGGCTTTAGGCTTTAGGCTTTAGGCTTTAGGGTTTCAACCTGGCAAGGTAAGGTTTTAGGGTGTCGTGCAGAGTCGGGAAGCATCACCGGCCCCATGTGGCCTTGTTCCTGTTGTATGCCCTACCCCTCAAAATCCTAAATCCTACATTTGGGGGGCCCATTTTCGTATTTGCAGATGGTTAGAGGAGTATGCGCCCTAATAACATTTGGGGGGCTTAAGCCCCAAACTCTGAAACCTGCAGCTAGTAGAATTGTTCAAGGCAGCGAAATTTCTGAACATCCTTATGGTTTGCAGAGATCCCTTCATTTGCAAAAGTCCTGCAAAACTCTTTGCAAGATTCCTCGAAAACGACAAACTTGAAAATTACACCTGTAACTTTAGAGCTTTGCTTGAAGAAGAAGATAGGCCGTCCTGCAGCTGCTTTAAGAAAGAGCGGCACTCAAAAGCACACAAAAACAGACAGCAAATCTCGTAGGTAGACATGCCTGCAGATATTCAAGCTCATGGGTGGAGACTGAGAGAAGTCATACGTATGCATGTATGTATGTATGTATGTATATCTACATGTATGTGTATGTGCATTTTTAAAATACACACTATGCATATTCTTTAATCAAAAACACCTTGCAGACTACATCTGGGAACCTCGGGCCTTAAACCCGAAACCCTAAACCCCTATAATAGAAGCCCTAAGCCCTAAGCCCTAAGCCCTAGGCCCTAAGCCCCAAGCCCTAAGCCCTAAGCCCTGAGCCCTGAGCCCTAAGCCCTAAGCCCTAGGCCCTAAGCCCCAAGCCCTAAGCCCTAAGCCCTGAGCCCTGAGCCCTGAGCCCTGAACCCTAAACCCTAAACCCTAAACCCTAAACCACAACCCTTATCATATAAGCCCTGACTATAATAAACGCCCCCTAGGGTCCGCCTGCTGCGCAGCGGGGTCGTGGCTCAGCGACGCGCAGAAAGCCGCCGAATCCAGGCTCAGGAGCTGTGCGTTGCTCTGCGCCTTGCAGGGCTTCTGGGCTTGGCCTTTGGAGTTTGGGGTTTGGGGTTTGGGGTTTAGGGTTTAGGGTGTTAGGGTTGAGGGTTGAGGGTGTAGGGTTGAGGGTTTAGGGTAGGGGTTGGTCAGCGTCCAGAACCGGTCGAAATGCACACCACCAGGGCAGCAAACAAAACACACACACACACACACACAAACAAACAAACAACCCTAAACCCCAAGCCCGAAGCCTGAAGCCTAAACCCAACCGCTAACCCCTAACCCGTAAACCCTAACCCCTAAACCCTAAACCCTAAACCCTAAACCCACATCTTTGCTTTGATGCGAAACTCCCCAAACCTGCCTCGAGATCTCCCATGTGCACCCATGGCGCCTCAGTCAGTGTCTGCTCTGGAGTTTAGGATTTGGGGTTTGGGGTTGAACCCCTGAGTCGAAATGTGAAACCCGGGGTCTCAGGGAGGGTTTAGGGTTTTGTATTTAGGGTTTTCGGGTCTTACAATTTAGGGTCTTGTATTTTGGGGGTTTAGGGTCTTGTATTTTGGGTTTTCGGGTCTTACAATTTAGGGCTTCAGGAGCTTTTTCAGGAGAGCCTGTCTCGTGCCATTGAACGGTTTACGTCTCGAAGGACGTGACACTTCAATGCCAAGGTCGAGTCTTGGGGGCTTAGGGCTTTAGGGCTTTAGGGCTTTAGGGCTTTAGGGCTTTAGGGCTTTAGGGCTTTAGGGCTTTAGGGCTTTAGGGCTTTAGGGCTTTAGGTCTTTAGGGCTTTAGGGCTTTAGGGCTTTAGGGCTTTAGGGCTTTAGGGCTTTAGGGCTTTAGGGCTTTAGGGCTTTAGGGCTTTAGGGCTTTAGGGGGTTAGGGCTTTAGGGCTTTAGGGCTTTAGGCTTTAGGCTTTAGTCTTTAGGCTCTAGGGCTTCAGGAAAGTGAGTTCCTGAAGCCAGGGCGCCCACAGGCACATCTCCGCAATCCATCGCTCGTCATCCGCAAGTTGTTCACCCTCCTCCTCACCGTCCTTCATCAGGTAAGTGCGAGTGTGCCATGGAGATGAGAGGCTTCAAGCAAGTGGGGGTTTTCCCAAATTAGGGGTACCTGATTGCGGTCCTTTCTGTAAGAGGATCATACTATTTGGGGATCCATGTTAATGGGGGACCTTGAGGGCCTATACCCTAAACCCTAAACCCTAAACCCTAAACCCTAAATCCTAAACCCTAAACCCTAAACCCTAAACCCTAAACCCTAAACCCCCACATTCTTGCGCCGAGGTCCTTGAAGTAGCAGGCCCGGCCACTGATCTTCAGGTATGCCGAGGTCGCAACGCGGCCACTGAGGAATATGACATCCCCGG